CAGAGATCCCTTCCAGCTCTGATAATCTCTGAGCCTCAGGATCTCCAGGGATTTTGAGAGGATGGGGTGGGGGCATAATCGAGGGGGATAGGACTGAGGACTGGAAGCTCTCAAACAGTCTGGGTTGTTTCCCTCTTTGGTGTTAGGATGGTGGGACACAGCCAGATATGTCGTCTGGGCACATGGCTTCTCTGTGCCCATGGAGAAGGAGAGTTTCTAGAATATTCCAAATGTTCACACTGTCACTGAGTCTGCTCTTGGGTTTCTGACACCCTTTCTCCAAGGTAGCTCTGCTTGGAGAGAAGTTCCTCTGAGGGCAAGCCCAGCTGAACTCTGGGCTCTCCTCAGTGCCCTGCCCTCCTCTCTCCATTTCTCTCAATCATTGTGACAGCAACAACCTACATGTGGACACCATTTCACCATTCATGAAGAAATTGTCCATCTATCACTTGTCTGGATTCTCACATTCTCACATTTACCTTTGAGGATATCAAGCCCCAAAGATTTATCCAGGCTGAGCTTCCACCCGCTTGGGCATTTTGATAACAAATGTCAGAGTATGCCTACTGTGTGTGTCAGGAGCTGGGCATATGAAAACAGAGTACCATCCGGTTTCTGCCACTATCCCCCCACACCCCACCAAGAGCTCTCAGACCAGGTTGGGAGGGTAAGGAGCCAGCATTGGTGGACAGATGCATGAAGAGGCACAGGGATAACAAAACAAGTCCTCAGGGGGCGCCTGGGTGGCTCAGTTGGTAAAGCGACTGCCTTTGGCTCAGGTCATGATCCCAGAGTCCTGGAATTGAGTCCTGCTTTGGACTCCTTGCTCCGCAGGGAGTCTGCATCTTCCTCTGACCTTCTCCCTCTCATGCTCTCTCTCTCAAATAAATAAATAAATAAAATCTTAAAACAACAACAACAACAACAACAACAACAAAACAAGTCCTTAGGGCCAGGCTTGATGTGAAAGATGACTTTCTCAGGGGTGGCTCAGTAGAGGGGGTAGCCCACAAACCTCCCCCAATCCCGACCCCCTGCCACTTCCCCCTCCTCACATTCTTCCTCTCCAGCAGACAGCTCTTCCTCTTTTCAAGCAGGCCACAGTCTCCACTTGCTACCATAGCACTGGCCCCCAGACATGTCCCTGGGCCCAATACAGTTGGCCTGCAGCCCATCCCAGCCAGGCAGAGGCAGTTTCTTCTTGGCAGGGAAGTGCAGATCCTTTCCTGCTAACTCCCTAAGAGTCATGCAGAACCTTCCCCTCCCCCAGCCGCTCTTTGGTCAAATACTGTCTTTTGTGGAATTCCAACTGAAAGCAGATTAAAACAGAGCTGATGCGCTATTTCCAGTTGGGTCTGGCAAGTCAAGTCCTCTGCTCCATCCCTGCTGTATTTGCCCCTGGAGCAGGTCTCCAAAAGCCCAGGGTCAGGAGGACACATCTTAGAAACCAGCAACTAGCCTTGCTAGCCACCTTAGGGACCGCTGGTCTCACAGATCCCCTCTCCCAAATGGTGGCCTGAACTAAGCTTCTAATTTGTTCCACCCACCCAGCAAGAAGTTGCTCTTTCTCCTATATTCCCCAACCCCACAATCCACTCAGGGACGGAGTCAGAACCTTGACCATCTCCTGTAGCTCCTCTTTATCCTCACCTCCACACCAAATGCCCCAGCTGGACGATTTCTCATCTGTCAGGCCTTCTCTGTCCCTTGCCTCTCACCTGTGTTTAATGTTCATGGAGCTTTGTTCCCTAGGAGGGGATAGTCTCAGAAGGTCTCCCTAACAGGAACTTAAACAGAGAATAGGCTACTTCTATCTGAAACAGTAAAGTCAATTTAATGAAGACAGAAATTTGGGCCAGTAGGCCTTTCTGGCCTGGGGAAAGTCCCAAGGAGCCAATCAACTTACTCTCTGTGGAGGCAGAGCTGGGACTGCAAGTCTGTGTCGGCGAAGAGAAACATGTGGGCCTATGTGTCAGTCACGGGAACATCCTGGACCCTGGGCCTTGATAGTCACCCTGTACCCTACAGTTGTCCTCATGTGGCATTTGGCACGAGTCACCATCCCTGCTCAGAAGCTAATCGTGCCTCCTCAGTGTCCACAAGATTAAGACCAAACTCCTCGTCCCCGTGTCCAGACTCTTTCAGAGATTGTCTCTGCTACCCTTGGCAGCCTCGATTCCCACTAACCCCTTTGTAGAACCAATATTCCCACCAAGCAGGGCAGCTGCCCTCTAACACCCTCCATGTATTTCCTGAAAAACTGGATGGGACTAGGCTGGATGCAAGGAAGTTACCGAGGCCCAGGTGGGACCCATGGTGGGTGCTGACCAATGGGACTCCCCTGGAGAGGCATCTGAGCCTCTGCTTCAGAAGAAACACCCAGAATCCAGCCAATTCTCACCATCCTGATTGCCATCAATCTGGCCTGAGCCACCATCATCTGACCCATGGATGACTGCCCTAGTCCCTCAAAAGTCTCCTCCTTCTTCACTGGCCTTTTAAAACCATAAGGAAATCCTGTTTCTTTTTTCTTTCCTTTTCTTTTCTTCTTTCTTTCTTTCTTTCTTTTTTTCTTTCTTTCTTTCTTTCTTTCTTTCTTTCTTTCTTTCTTTCTTTTTTTCCTTCCTTCCTTCCTTCCTTCCTTCCTTCCTTCCTTTCTTCCTTCCTTCTTTTTTGAATCTGTCACTCAAAACCTCACATGGGCTCCCCCATTTCAATCAGAGTGAAAGGTCAATGCTGCACACCATCTGGCCCTAGCAAGCTCTCTGGCCTCTCCTTCCTCCTCTTCTCTCCTCACCCAGCTGGAATCTTCTGTTCCTCAAAACCGCCACAGTACTGACTGTGCCCTCTATCTGGAACATTCTCAGTTCAGACATCCGAATGGCTCACTTCCTCACCTCTTTCAAGCCTTTGCCCAAATGCTACCTTTTCCATGTGTGGCATTCCCTCTTAAAACTGGGAGGCCTGCGATTCCTGCCTAATTCCTCCTCCAACCACACTGGCACTCTGGATCCTTCTCATTTTGCTCAAACTCTTTGTCTTTTCTCATAGCGCTTACCACCTCATAACACACGATGTAATTAGTTAATTAATTGATTTCTATCATCTGTCTTTGCGTACTGGAACATAAACTTTACCAAAGCATGATTTTTAAAAATATGTTTTGCTCACTGATCTAACCCAGCTGCCTAGAACAGTCCCTGGCATATACTATGCCTTCAGTAATTATATGTTGCATCAGGAAACCCTTCCAGTCTTACACAATTTCATCCACTTGGCTCACATCACACACCTGGCTGGACTTAGATGCATTCATACTCACACCTCTCTAGAGCATACGGACACATGCTTGGAGAAGCCATCTACTGGTGTGGATATATAATTGTAAGTTGATAGCTAGATAATTTTCCCTTTGTATATATATATGCATGCAAAGGCCACATGTACACATGCACAGGCATGGAAAAATCACATTTTTAAAATTAAGGGCTTTTTGCTTATTTGTTTGTCAGGGAGAGAGAGTGAGAGAGCGAGCACAAGCAGGGGGAGCAGCAGGCAGAGAGAGAGGGAGAAGCAGACTCCCTGCTGAGTGAGGAACCCGATGCAGGGCTTGATTCAAGGACCCTGGGATCATGACCTGAGCCGAAGGCAAATGCCTAACCGACTGAGCCTCCCAAATGTCCCTTAAATTAAGTTTTTAAGAAAAGATTTTATTTATTTATTTGACAGAGATCACAAGTAGGCAGAGAGGTGGGCGTGGGGGGGGCAGGCCCCCTGCTGAGCAGAGAGCCTGATGTGGGGCTTGATCCCAGGACCCTGAGATCATGACCTGAGCTGAAGGCAGAGGCTTAACTCACTGAGCCACCCAGGTGCCCCTAAATTAAATTTTAATATTGACTTGAGGAACCTTTTTTAGCAAAATTCAATTATAAAAATATTTCAAACCTACAGAATAGTTGAAAGAATTGCACAGTGAACAGCCACCACCTAGATTGTACAAATAATGTTTTGCTACATTTGATTGATTGTACATCTATCTATCCACATATTTCTCTGTCCATCCATCAATACATCTTATATGCATCTCAGGGTAAATTGTAGCCATTGGCAGTCTTTCTCCCTAAATACTTCAGCATTAAGGAGAATTCAATATTTGTTTGCTTTTTAGGTAAAATGAACGTGTAAAGAAATGCATGCATCTTAAGCGTACACTTACTGAGCTTTGACAAACGAGTTTTTGACCTGTGTAACTCAAAGCTCTGTCAAGATGGAGAACATCATCATCAGCCCCAAAATTTCCATCATGCCCCTTCCTAGTCATTTTGCTAGCAGGGCAACCACTACTCTGATGTTTTTCACCATAGATTATTTTTTGCCTCTTCTGGAATTCCATGTACACAGAATAATTTGATAGGTGCTCACATTTATTTATTCATTCCACACAAAAATTTATTCAGCACCTACCTGACACTCGTAGACCTATATCTGATGTCTGTTCACGGGGAGTAATGAGTTCTCTGGGACTGACCAAATGACTGAACATGTTTCTAGGCATGACCTCTGGCCTCCTCTCTTGTTCCTTTGCGATTGCATTGTCTTTGAGAGACCACACACACAACTGGGCCTCATAAATAGAAATGCAGACCACTGGGTTCCTGGCTGCCCGCCTCTCTCCCCGTCCACCCGGGCTCTGGAGGACCCTGGTCAACCACAAGCCCCTCCCACTCACTTCCCACACCAGAGCTTCATTGACTTTTTCTGCGCAGGTGAGCCAGGGTGTGTCACAATCTCAGCCGAGGCTGTGCCCAAATGGGTAAAAGTGCCCGTGGGTAGACAGCTGGAAGGAGCTGGGCAAGCAGAGGTGATGTGTGTCCCTGCTGTCATGGGTAGGGGTGGGAGTGGGGGGGTGGAGACTAGTGGGGGGCTGGTGCACAAAGCATGAAAAGCCTGGGAAGCCAAAGGAGCAGCACTTACCTGGAGCCTCTGAAACCCTGAACACGATGCTCTTGCCCTCCAAAAAGGACCTTAAGATTGCCCTGGAGGTTTTTGCTGTTTTCCAGTGGACCTTGAGTGCCTTTCTCATCAGTGAGTCTTCAGCCTTCCATAGGGTTATCACCTGGTGTGGTCTGCCCAGGACTGAGGAGTTTTAGGGTTGAGCGTGGTTTTGAATGCCAAAACCTGGGTTGTCCCAGACAAATCCAGGTGACTAATCACCTCGGCGTCTCGCCTGACTTGCCGGGGCGCAGTACTCGGGGACTAAGTCGTACAAGAGGGTATGTGTGGGTGTGTGCCTATGCGGGAGTGCGTGTGCGTGTGTGTGTGTATGCAAACGAGCCTTGATGCCAATGTGTATGGTGAGCCCTCCTGGGTCTACACTGGGGCACGCAGGGCATGTGTGGGGAAGATGGGGAGCAGTGCCATCGAGGTTCCTCAAGGAAAAGGACTTAGCTACAACCTCATGTGCTTGAGCAGCTGCCTGGTGGTGGACGGAGGCTCTGAGAGCCCATTGCCTGGAACAGTTCATCCATCTATCCAGCCATTTTCCCCTACTGTCTACACCACAATTACTTTGTGGAAACTACATATACACTGGTCATTGTGTTCTGGGTTTTAGAGAAAAGCAGCCCTGTGTGTGTGTGTGTGTTTGAGTGGGTGGGGGGAAGCTGGAAAAAAATTCTCGTTTGTCAGGTGATCTAGGTGAGGATAAGCAGGAGGCAAGGGTGTGAATCAATGATCTTGTAAGATAACTGGGAAGGAAGAACGCAAGTAGGCCTTGGGAATCTGGAGCTTGCTAGTCAATCGGAAGAGTGGGCTAGAGGACAGGGAATGGGAAGCTCAGAGGCCTGCCTGGAGTGGACACCAGGACCCCTCTGTGCTGAAAGAGAGGTGTTACTCTAGGAATGATTAGCAGTCAGAGCTGGAAGAGCCCAGCAGAAAGGAATTCATATGTATTTGCTACTTCGTACCAGGTATTTTCACACCTATTATTTCCTTGTAGCCTCCTGCCAGCCTTATGAGGTAGAAGCTATCATTATGCATAATAATATATACTAATAGCTACACACACATAATAAGTGTGAATAATATTAGCTAACATTAATTGTACCCTGTTTTCGTGTAAGGCGCTGTTATAAGCCCCTTGTGTGGCTAATAAGCTCCATTTGTATGGATGAGGGTGCTAAGGAGCACGAGGCATTAAGTGGTCTGTCCAAGATCACAGAGCTGAGGAAGCCGAGGGGCTGGCCTGGGAGTTGAGCCCACAAGGATCTGATTCCAGCCAGTGAGATCTCTTCCCTACCTCTTGCATTGGCTCGTTCACTGCTAATCCTTGCAGCTGGGTCTGGGCATGTCCCTGGAGCACATACTAAGCCAGAGGGTGCTCTAATCCCTAATTGTCTCATTTTAAGTTTCTGTTCACTGCCCGTTCATGACCTTTGCCCATTTTTCTCCCGAATGAGTTGACTCTTGAAGGGCACGTAGGAAGTCGGGGAAGAAGGACGAGTGTTCGGGGCAGTGCGTGGGTAACCCGAGGCAAGGCTAGGATGGGGAGAGTGTAAAGCATCCAAGGAGCTGTGGGTGGTGAAGTGGGGTGAGGGGCAAGAGGCCCAGAACTGACGCCTGATATGTATCGAATAAATGAATGGGAAAGAGAAGAGGATGCTGGAGAAGCAGACAGGGGATGATTGTGCCAGGCACTGCCAACTAAGGAAAAGAGTTTGGGCTTTCTCCTGAGGGCCATGGGGAGCCACGATAGGGTTTGGCACAGGGCAACAATGTCGGGTTTGTGTTTTCAAGAGCTCACTCTTGCTCTGCATAGCGCACTGGTTCTGGGAAGAGGCTGTTGTCTGTATCCGTCTAGGAAGAGGGATGCACACAGGAGGGGAGGAAAGGGGAAACTGGAGAAACTGGAATGGAATTAATATGCCCTGATGATCAGAAGACACATGCAACAGAAATGGAAGAGGCAAGACAGAGGGCATAGGGCCCGCTGTGAGGGGGCAGAGGAGGCTGAAGGAGGAGAGCGGCTGGAAGGAACATTAGTACAGGGAGAAAACTGTGCCAGGGAACCCTTCATTAGAGTCCAATGGTGGGGCATACAGAGATGTGGTGTGGAGCAGGCAGAAGGGCTCTAGGCCTGGGCCTCAGGAGACGGAGGTTCCAGTGCTTCCCCGATCCGTGCTAGCTCACGTGGGGTGGGTGAAGCCTTCCCAGCTCTTCACCCTGTGTATGGATTCATATCTCTTTGGACCCTGAAGGCCTCGAGAAGAGACCCTTGCACTAAGTCTGTGAGGAAGAGAAGGCAGATAGGGGCCGTGTGAGTCCCAGTGGGGGGTGAAGTTCAGCGACTTGTCTGAGCTCACACTCTTGGGAAATGGTGGATCAGGGACTCATCTCACTGCCCAAGCACTCCACCTGAGGCCACGCTGCCTCACAAGATGTCCCCGACACTGTCTGGGTTAAGCAAAGCCTCCGGGAAACAGGGAGGTCTCTTTTGGACTAGACCCATTCCTCTCTTTATTTCTTGACAAAGTCCAGTAGTCAAATCAAAAGGCAAATCAAAAGGCTAAAACCATGGGCCTTAGATCTCTTCCCTAGAGGCAGTCACTTCTAGATCTTTCTTCTGGTATTTATCTCCAGGTTCCTACATTTTACTGCTTAAGATGTCTACAGATTACTATGGTATTTCTGACTGGATGACTTTAGACGTTGTCACTGATTTCCTGATGTGGAAGATGAGAATTTGGCTCTACCTGCTGTTGCTAGATCTTTCCTCTTCCTCCATCCTCCCGAGACTGTAATAGTTTGGCTCAATGCCTAACTATGACTGGGAATATCACTAGTGGAGCCATTCTGTGTACTGAGAGCCTATGTCCTTGCCTGTGACAACTTTCTGTTTTCCCTGGAACTCATCGTCGCCTCATTCTAAATTTCTTTTGTTATCTATCAGATATCCATTAACTACACCAAGTCATCTTTGAATCCTCCACAGACATAGTGATCTCTCCATATTGTGTGAACACATCAGGAATCTATAGGTCCTCCCCCACTGCTTATTTCCTGGAGGATATGGCTACTGGAACCCAACACCCTCTTGTTACGAAGCACTGGTCTTCTTAACACACAGCTCTCACCTCCAGGGCCCTTGAGGCATCACGGGTGCACAATTTAAGAAGGTGCTCACTCTCCAGGTTGTGCGAGTATTGGGTCAGTACTTGCTTGCCCCTGGGAGTGTTTTCTTCCATTTTGTGCCCTAGGCACCTGGCTGGCTTTGCCCTAGCCCTGGACCTGGTCATTTCCTCCCTCCGTTGGCTCCTTCCCTGCCCCCTGCTCTGATCCCATGCCTTCCTCTGTCTTGGCTGACTCCCTTATCTTGAAGGAGCGCATCCTCCAGTAGTTTCCTGAGAAAGAGACATGGGAGATGAACCATCTCAGACTGTATGTCTGAGATTGTCTTGATTCTACTTTTATGCTTGATTAATAATTTGGCTGCATACCGAGTTCATCTTAGCTGTCTGTGTTGAGTACAAGTGTCTGAGTCTAAAGTCTCTTTGGTTCCATTTGTGGAGAGTAGTCCTTCCCATTGTCCAACTGTGTAGGGGAGGGAAGGGGACCTGGAGCTCTAACTACCTCTTCAGTAGACTCTCAGTCAAGGCCCGTGCCTCACACTGCTTTTGTGTGACACCTGCTGGCTCTAGATTCTGAGTGTTTCCGAGATTCTCCAGCACAAACAGGCTTGGTCCTATAGCCATTTCCTAGGTGGGTGACCAGGTTTCAGTTTTCTTTGTCTGAAGTCAGTTACTGCCTCCTTCATCTACTTTCCAGCATGTGAATATCCTGCTGGCATCTCCCGTCCACTGTTGTTGGTCTCTGTCGAATTCTTTTTTTTCACTGCAGAGCTGTATCTTTTAAAAACATTCTTAGGGGTGTGCCTGGGTGGCTCAGTTGGTTGGGAGTCTGCCTTTGGCTTGGGTCATGGTCCCGGGGTCCTGGGATTGAGCCCCGTGTCAGGCTCCCTGCTCAGCAGAGAGCCTGCTTCTCCCTCTCCCGCTCACCCTGCTTGTGTTCCCTCTCTTGCTGCCTCTCTCTCTCTCTGTCAAATAAATAAATCTTTAAAAAACAACAACAAACTCTTAGGATAATTTTCATGAGGACTTGGCAAGGAGTCAAGGTAGAAAAAAGAAAAAAATAGCTTGTGTTCAGTCTGCCACGCTCAGTTAGAAGTGTGTCCTGTCTTTTCTAGCCTTTGCTTTTACCCACTTTCTCTCACAGCTAGCTGTCTTAGTCACAGCTGTTTTAAAAATGGAGTCCGTTCATATTTCTGAGTGTGGCTCCCTAGGACTCGTCTCCATGAAGTCCATCCTAACTACTATACCCTACAGTGCTCCTGTCTCACTGGAGCCTGACACAGCCCAGGTCCTTATTGGGTCCCAGCTTGCGTTGTCTTTTGTTTCTCATTTGCCAACTGGTGCGCTCCCAGCCTGGCGGAAGTTGGGTCTTCTCTTTCTCTGGTATTCCCTCCACTGACGCCTCACAGAGAAGATCTGGAGAGAAAAATGTGAGCACGGGGGAAAACCGTTCCTGACTCTGTCTTTCCTGGACTCCCAGGCTCTGATGGTTAGATCTTAGATCAGAGCGGCCCATTGGTGGCTCGCCGCTGTTGAACACAGCTCAGAGCAGGGCCAGGGCACATCCTGGGGAGCAGACGGCTTATAGCATGGGACACAGCTGGAGAGGAAAGTGCCTTGCCTTCCAGATCCAAAACAGGGGTCCCTAGGATGGACAGGAGAGGGAGGGCTGGGGACGTGGGCACGCAGACCCTGTGCTAGGGTGAGGAAGCAAGAGTGTTCGGTGAGTGTGGGTGAGTGTGTGTAACCTTGGGGTGGAGAGCCCCTGGAGGGAGGGCAAGTGGGGAGGACTGTTTACAATTCATTAACTCTGGACTGGGCTCCCTCCAGTCTTCACGGTAATCTCTGTCAACATCTACCTGGTGCTGTTCACGTCATACTGGCCCGTCACTGTGCTCCTTCTCAGTTGGCTGGCTTTTGACTGGAAGACACCCCAGCGAGGTAAGGGCCCCTCTGGGGCTGTGTTGCCACTGGCCACACGTTCTCTTCTCTCTTCTTCTTATAGTCCTGAGAGGCTCTGGTCAACTCCCAGGTGGCCCTTTAGCTTGTCTCCGCTCCCTGGGTTAGAGAAGCTGAGGGAAGAAGCCTTTTCAAAATGCTGGGAAGGCCTAGAACAGACCCGGAGTGGGTTCGGGGAAAAGCAGTGGGTAAAGTAGCAAGCTGGGCCTGTCCTAAATCGGCCCGGATGTGACATCACTCGCCTCGGTTGTTGCTTACAAGGCCAGGTGACAGCAGGGCGTGAGGGGAGACAATGGGGGTGGACAAAACGTGGCTACTGGGACACCTGGGTGGCTCAGTTGTTAAGCGTCTGCCTTCAGCTCAGGTCATCATCCCAGAGTCCTGGGATCGAGCCCTGCATCAGGCTCCCTGCTTGCTGGGAAGCCTGCTTCTCCCTCTCTCACTCCCCCTGCTTGTGTTCCCTCTCTCGCTGTGTCTCTCTGTCAAATAAATAAATAAAATCTTAAAAAAAAAAACAACAAAAACATGGCTACTTTATCTCTGTTTTCAGGGGGCCGCCGGATTGACTGTGTGAGGAGATGGTGCATATGGAAACAGTACTGTGATTACTTCCCCCTCAAGGTGAATAGCCCCAGGTCCTCCCACCCCCAACTTGTGTCCCAGGCCCAGCCCCAACTCCAGGCCAGCAGTTGGGCCAGGATGGAGGTTGGGGGCATCATTCCCATTGAGCCCCATGTGAATGATGCCCCCCATCACTGTGTGTTACCCACCTGCCTGGCCGGACATGGCCACACTTTCCCTGCCTGGGCTCTGGCCGGAAGAGGAGTACCCTTCCTTGGCCATTCCCCTCCTGACTCCCCTCTCCTCCACAGCTTTTGAAGACTCATGATATCTCCCCCAACCACAACTACATCCTTGCGTGCCACCCTCATGGGGTCTTGTCCCATTCATGCTTTGGCCACTTTGCCACAGATACCTCAGGCTTCTCCAAGATCTTTCCCGGTATCACTCCTCATATTCTCACCCTGGGAGCCTTTTTCTGGGTGCCGTTTCTCAGAGAGTATATCATGACTTCAGGTGAGATGACTCCTAAGATGTAAAGCCAAAGGAAACATGGCTCCCCCAGGGAGAAGTGTTGGGGGAATGGGAGAGAGGCAAGGCCAACTTGGTGATCCTCTCCAGTCTTAGAAAGCTACCTTAGGCTCACCTGCCTGACATGAGGCTCTTCCCTCCTTTGAAGAGGTAGGGAGGAAAGTTAGGAGGTTGGGGAGGTGGCTCATGAGCTTTCAGTGTTTTCTGCCTCTCCCCTCCAGGGGCCTGCTCAGTGAGTCAAGCGTCCATGGACTTTCTGCTCACACACAAAGGCAAAGGCAACATGCTGATTGTGGTGGCTGGTGGCCTGGCAGAGTGCAGCTACAGCCTGCCGGGCTCTACTACCCTGTTCCTGAAGAAACGGACTGGCTTTGTACGTGTGGCCCTTCATCATGGGTAAGGACAGCTCTGAAAGCCCAGGATGGAACGAGTAAGGGATTTTTGAGGAAGTGATACTTAAAAAGGGAGGTAGAAAGCAGCCTCTATGTGGGAGTAGAGTCTGGGCTGGGTCCTCGAGGCATTTCTGCTTATGAGGAAAGGCTGGAGGGCCAGCCCTTGGCTCTTCTCCCTCACACTAGGCTCTCATCTGGGCCGGTCCCTCTATAAAAGGCCACTAGCCACAAGCTCATGTCAGAGAGAACCCAAACTGCTGTGTGGGTTAGAGGGAAGAAAGCCAAATCAAATGGCCCTTGGGTCTTCTTTTCCAGTGTTTCAGACCTGTAGCTTCACAGGAGGGTCTGGGACCTGCTTCCTTTAGCTTGCTGCTATTTTGCCCCCACGGGAAGCTTGGGGTAGACAGCGGGGCGCTCGCACTTAGTCGGGACCACGGCCCCCCTAAGTCACAGGCCGAGAAGTCTAGAGGCAGACCTGGGGACTGCAAGCAGTCAGTGCATCTGGCCATCGAAGGATATGCCTTTCCTCCGCAGAGTTCCTCTAATCCCTGCCTATGCCTTTGGGGAGACAGACCTCTACAATCAGCACGTTTTCACCCCTGGGGGCTTGGTGAATCTCTTCCAGAAGTGGGTTCAGCGTATGACACACATCTACCCTTGTGCTTTTTATGGGCGCGGCCTCACGGAGAACTCCTGGGGCTTACTGCCCTTCGCCCGGCCTGTGACTACTGTTGGTGAGTGAGCCCGCCCACTGGCAGCCATGTCTAGGATATCAGATCCACTTCCGGGGCTTCACCTTAGCTCTGGCTGTGTCCAGAGACAGGGAGGTAGACTGGGATGAGGGGTATGGTGGGGGGAAGGGCGGGGAGAACCTGGGTTTGAGGGCTGAGGCTCCGGCTGAGGCCCAGTCTGAACAGTGAGCAGTTCTGATGCTTTTCTCTTCTTCTCTGTCTCCTCTGGCAGTCGGGAAGCCACTACCACTGCCCAAGATTGAGAATCCGAGCGAGGAGACTGTGGCTAGATACCATGCACTCTACATCGATGCCCTACGCCAACTCTTTGACCAGCATAAGACCCAGTATGGCGTCTCAGAGGACCAGGAACTGGTGATTGTTTGACAGACACCCCCAGCAGCTTCTTGGCCTGGGCTGGAAGGTTTCGAATCTGTGGAACAGGAGGACAGAAGTCACCTGTCGAATCTGTGGAACAGGAGGACAGAAGTCACCTGTGGGCCTCCTCCTCCTGATCTGGCTAAGTCCTCCATATGAGGAGGCCACTCTCTAGGTCCCGCTTCTTCCTTCATCTTTTGCCTCCTTCCAGCTCTTCTCTGCTTTCACCTCAGGGCTACCAGGGAAGTAGCCCCCAAAGGCAGGGAAAGCCCTAGCTGAGAGGTAACCCGAAGTCTGCCTCACCCACGGCCGCTCAGCATCAGAACTGAGGAGAACAATGGACAGAATAAAAAGCTTGTCTTCTGATACTGCTTGTGGTCCAACTCATCTGTTTTAAGGGCCTAGGGTCCCTGGGTTCATGGCTTTTTTCTCTAGCTCTCAAGCTGCCCCATCTCCTGGCAGCGAGGCTCTTGCAGGACTGGGTGCCTTAGGAGCCTGTGCACTTGGGAATTCAGGCTCCGCTGCCTTCACGCCATGTGACACAGGACAATCTGTCATCTCTGAGGCTGAGCTTCTTCACCTGTAACACAGAACCCAGAATCCCTCCCTCCCCTGCTTACCTCAGAGGCTACTGGGAAGGCCAATGATACTGAATGTGATTGACCTCTGGAAATGGGACAGCTACCCCAAATTAGGGTCCTCCACTCATTCTGCCCTTTTCCTGTCCTTGAGCAGACTCTGTCCTCAATTTCATGGCATCTCGATGCTTAAAAGAAAGTGTACAGAGTAAGCTCTGGTCAGCAGCCCTTTGAACGTTAAAGTCACCTTTCTACAGTTGGGTGACCTTGGGTGAGCTACTGAAAATCCCCGAGCATTGGTCTCCTCATCTGCCAAATGGGAGGTTACCTCATGGGGAGCTGGAGGCTGGATCTTTCCATGCTGTTAGGGCCTCAGGCCTGAGATGTCTGTCACAGATGCCATAGTGTCAGGCTGAGAGAAGCTCCACGCTGTGTCTCTGCCCTCAGGACAGCGATTCTTTCCCACAGGACCTCTAACTTCCTGGACAAGCGGTGATGGGAAAAGACCTCAGGTGGTAGGGATGGGGGCATGTGTGGTCTGGGACACACAGAGGATGTGAGAGGTTCTGACAGGAACCGTCAACAACCTTTGGTTGCCCCCTCTGAAATGGGTGCCTTGGCCCTTCCCCAGGCTCACCTGTGGCAGCACATGCAAAGCGGCCCCTGGCACACAGGAAGCACTTAAGTTGATTTCAAGAACAGGGGGACGAAAGAAAAAAAAAAGCTTTATTTGCCGAGAATGAACCATTAATTTACACAAACTTACATCCCAGTTTATATACATTATATATAGTTTATATACATAGTATCTCACACTGGAAGCTGACCCCCCAAAGCAGCACTGGGCCTTCTCCAGGCCATTCTCACCACAAAGCCCCCCCCCCCCACCCCAGGTGGAAGTTTTTTGAATCAAGAAATGACATACCCCGAGTCCCCCTGGAGAGAGCCGCCAAGGGCGTTAAAAGAAACAATCCACTTCCTTCTTTGTGCTCACTGCGGCCTAGGGGATCCTCCGGGCCAGGCCAAGGGAGAGCCTGGGTAGCCTAGGACTTCCTGGTATTGGGCCAGTCCAGAGCCTTCCAGTACAGAGACCACGGCAGGGAGAATGCCTGGGGGGAGGGGGAAAGAGTTCTGATGGCCCCTAAGGGGACTCTCTCCCCTGCCTGGCCGGGCTCCCGAAGGGGGCCCAGCACTTCCAGTCTTGAGTCTGGGGGTAGAAGAAGGGAGGGGTCGGTGCAGGACAGAGGCTGCAGGTCAGGGCTTTGAGTCTGCAGGTCAGGGCTCGGTCACCTTGGCCAGATGACCTTCCGTCTCTGGGCCTCTGGGTCTCGCTCTAAAGTTCTCTGACTCTATTCGTATCCACTGGAAGTTACAGAAAACATAGGTGCTTGCACAGGGATCCAACCTCTGCTCGCCTCCAGGCTTCTTAGCCCTTTCCTGCTTCAGTGAAAGGAATCTGGCTCAGGATGGATGAGGGGGGCCAGAAGGCAAAGACATTTCCCAAGGAACCAGGAGGTGAACAGCCCCCAATGGCTGGCTTTTATGCCGGCCTTGGCCGCTGAAGCCCAAGCAGCTGGCCAAGGCCCCAGCCATACAATTCTCCTTCAAACCTCTGCCATCTGCTTGCTCACAAATGTCCTCATCCCATTACCAGTGCTAGCCCCGGCCCTCTGATGAACTCACGTCAGCGCCATTTCAGACCGTAAATCTATTCCCACATCCTCTTGCTAGTGAATTGTTTCACCACGTTGTTGATGAGTTCACTGCAATAGGGTCCCCAGCTGTCTATTGCTTCTGTCCTTGCCTCCTTCCCTCTAGTTCCTTTGGAGGGTTCACAATGAAGACAGGGTCCCATGCAAAAGCCTATCGCCCCTATAATCCCCTCCCTATCTGGACCTCTGAGTGGGAGTCAGAATGTCCTTTAGGGGTACAGTTAGGAAGCCTCCTCCTCCCCTCTCCTCACACACATCTGGCTTTAGAGCCAGGCCTCTCTCTGGGGCTTTTCCTCCATCAGGAGACATCCTGGTAGAACAAAGCCCTCCGTGGGATGCTAGGAAGAACCAAGGAGCCACTGAGTAGCTGTGGGAAGTGGACCAGCTCCCGTGACCTGTCTGTACGGTAACCAGTGGAGGCCCTTGCCCATGGCAGGGGCTCCAGTACTCGATGGGTGGGTGGAAGAGCATGAGGGGTATAGTTCTGGGGGTACTGGAGGCCTGCTGCTTCGACATGGTGCCGAGACAATTCTGACCACAAGAGCCCTAAGGCTGATGGCAGTTTCCCAAAGAAATGTCCTACTCTTTTTGCCACAAAGTCCCCAGGAACCAAAAGAACATCAAGGAATTACCATCAAGGAATGAAAACAAGCACCTCTGGGTTTCTCTCTGGGATGCTGAAGGATCTGGGGTCCCTATTCCCATTTTTGTTGGTTCTCTCTAGACTGCAAGTTCAACACAATGCTGCATAATGGAATAGCTTTGGAGGCAGATCTGGCTGAAGCCCCGGGCTGTGGCCTAAACTGGTGGGGATCCTGGAAAAGCACTTCACCTCTCCGGGCCCTGTCTACACAATGGGATTCATAGTATCCTCAAAGGAGATAATGAGAAAGTACTTTCCAGACTTTAAGGAGAGGATCCTTAGCCTGGTTCATAGCCTGCCACTCTGGTCTGGACCTGCCATGGGGCGAGCATTATGGCTGTTTGGAAAGGGAAGGTACAGTGGAGAAATGAGTACCAGTTCTTGGTGGATTTCAGCTGCCTGAAGGATAAGTCCCTTCTCCCCTCCCCTTCCCTCCCCTCCCCTCCCTTCCTTTCCTCTCCCCTCCCCTCCCCTCCCCCCCCCACCTCTCCCCTCCCCTCCCTTCCCCTCCCTTCTCCTCTCCTCTCCTCTCCCCTTCTCTTCTCTCCTCCGAAGGAAATTTGTTTCAGGAGCAAAAGTAGCAGACTGTACAACGTTGGCCCTCCCTAGTTTTGGGCTAGACCCAGCATCCAGAAACCAGGCTGGCCCCCGGCAGTAAGAGATCAGGCCCTTGAGTGGTCCTACAATGTGATCCAGTGGGGAACTTGGGGTCGGGGGGGGTGGGTGGGTGGGTGGGTAAGGGATCTTTGGACCTGGCTACAGGGCAGAGCCTTGCCTGATGCCTAGATGCTGGCTTCTCTTGAGCCTGGATTCAGGTGAACGGCCCTGGAATCTCTAGTGATTCTGCTATGGCTTTCTGAAGCCAGAGTGAGGAAAGGTGGGTGTGCAGGGCATTGGTGGCTGTCCTTTTGGATAGCACCTAGGCTCATGGCCACTTAGGTCACAGCAACCTTGAGAAGAAAAAAACCCACTTTTTGCCCTTTTGGGGTCAGGTAGAAAATTTCTGCCTTGCTGATGCCTAGGGGGCAGGCTGGGGTTTGGGAATTTTTGTAGGCTATCCTGGAAGCTGCCTAAGTATTTGAATTTGAAGGGATTCCCAGAGGTCACCCAGTCCAACCCTTTGCCCCCAGACACAACTCGACTAGATGAATATTTGTGTCACTTAATAAACGTCAAGGACTCTTTGCGCCCAGGTCATGGGAAGATTGTCCCAGACTCACATAAGCACAGGTCCCAGGGGAGGCACCTGTCTTAGACAGAGGTAGGCTCTGTAGAGAAACAAGACAGGAGTTCTGGTCCGGGTGGGAAAGGGGGCAATTGGAAGGGAACCCAGAGATTTTTCTGAGTGTGGAACATGGTTGTAAACAAAGTGGAAGACACGTGGCCCCAAGTCTGCCTTCAGGTTCTTGCGCAGGCGCCCAGCAGTGTGTGGCCATTCCCTGCCAACCTCCTGTCCCCCAAAGCCCAGCAAGTTGCTGTGAGCTGGCTCACAGCCTGAGTGGGAAGAGTGCGAAGAGCCCCCCTGCCCTGTTCCCCTGGACCCTGAGGCTTGGCAGGTTTCTCCCTGGGTCTCTGCCACCAGTGCCTGCCTTTCCCCTCCCCATCCATCTGCTTAGGCTTTACTGCTCCCCTCCCGCCCCACCCTTGCCCCCAGCCCTACCCAAGAGAGGAACAGCAGCCCCTTTAGGGTCAGAGGCTTGCCCCCACAGTCTGGAGTCCACTTTTGCTTTCTCTTGCCTGCTGCCCTGGACTCCCCACCTTAGTGCAAGAAACAATCACTCTGACAAAAGCGACCTTGAGGTTGAAGAGTAGAGCCATAAGCCAGCTGACACGGAGCCAAGGAAGAAGGTCCTGCTTCCTACAAACCGGGGGCTCCATCAACCCTCCTGTGAACTCAAGGTCATTCTGGAAAGTCAAGTGGGCCTCCTCATCATCCTGGAGTCACCGGGGAATAAATAGCCTGTGGCTGTGACACCCATCACACCTCATTCCACAGCAGCACTGAGAGGTTCTGGGAGTCCCAGCTCCCAGTTCCCAGCTCTGGGGCAGGGGCGGGAGCATGGGCAGAAAGTGGGGGGAATCTAGGATGCAGGGGCCTCGCCCAGCCTGATGGCCCCAAAGAAAGTGGTGTGCTTGCTCATATTGATGGAGATGTCGGCATGTACCATCTTCACGGCAATCTTCTGCCTGGCTTTGAGGAGGCAGACCCCCGCGGTGTAACAAGTGTTGTAGTTGGTCTTGCCTGTCTCAATGCTGCGGGTACACTGCAGGAAGGGCTTCTCGTCCACCACCACCTCGTAGCTGGCGAAGTCGGTGAAGTTGATGTAATAGACCTGGGTGAGAGGCAAGGAGAAGGGATTGGGGGAGAGGCAAAGGAGAGGGTGGGGCCCTTCCCTGCCCGGGACCCACGGGACCTTCTGGGAGGAGCTGGCCCATACACCTCATGAAGGGGGGCAGTGCCACCTGAGGGCGTGTTCATTGGTCAACAGGAAAGGCAAGATGATGGGCTGATACACCCCACTCTCTCCGCACTCCGTGGGGCTTGGGTGGCTGCAAATCTCTTTGCAAAAACTCGCCAGCTGTCAGCTCTGTCAAGGGTAGGATCCAGGCCTTTCTCACTCAGGTAGCTCCCCCAGCCCCTCCCCTGCCCTCCACCCTGCTCAGCCCCAGCAAGAGGCAACAGAGCTCTGCGCACAGTAGGGGATCAATCAGTGTTATGGACAAATGGATACAAATTGACTTCCCATGCCTGCCCCAAGGACTATTTGCGGCTGACCTTGGAAGTTGCTGATTCCTGAGAGAGGGCACGGTAACATCTTGCCGTTTCTTTGGCTCTTTAGGGCCTTGAGCTTGCAGCTCACCCTCCCCTGTGGCTGAATTTCTCTCCCGGATTTTTATGGTGCCCCTTGGCCCCCTGATGATCAAGGAAACATATCCGGAGAGATGGAGTGCTATCTACCATAAATGAGCTAAGGAATTTGGAAGGACAAAACCTAGGCCCCTGACTTTACTTTGTGGCCAGAAGGAAGTGCCAACCCATGTTCACTGGCCTGCTTTCAAGGGGGATTTTCCCAGTTTTCATGGCATTCAAGGCCTGAGGCCTCTCCCAATCTATTCTGGGCCTGGAAAATAACCCCACCCCAAGCTTTGATTCCCCACTCCCCCACACACAAAGGAGCTTAGAAGAAATGGCCTATGCCTATAGGATTATACCCATGTGCCCCCTGGGGATTGACCACCCCCCCCCAGGGGGCTATCGGTCATCCTCAATCACTTTATGAAAGGTTGTTCCCTCCATAGGCTCTTCAGGAGGGAGTAGTGTATACAGGTGCAGTATTTCTATGCCAGGATGGGCTGATCGAATGCTTGTTAACCCATCTTCTCTGGCCACTCTCCCGAGAGACCCTTCTGTTGGCTCTGTAGTCCTTCTGTCCATCTGCCTACTCTCTGCCCACCCCAAAGAAGCCCCAGCATCAGGGCTCAGCTAACCTCTAGTTCTGAGGCAAACAACAGGGGCGGGAGTGGTTGGGCAGACCTGGGGAGCAGATCCAGTGCGGGGCAGGGGAGGGCAAGGACAGAACTCCAAGGGCTGGGAGAACGGTGGCAGGATGGAGGACGGAATGGACAGAGACACAGAAAGGAGGACAGGAGAGGGAGAAAGAGGAAGGAAAGACCATCCCAAATAAATGGCTTTGAGGTGGAGAGAAAGCCTTCAGGAGCACTATTTAATGTGAAGCTAGCACTGTCGGGGGGAAGGGGGTATGTTCAGAGGATATATACTGACCCAGAGATGGAGTTTGGCAGTAGAATGGGGCAACGAGGGCCTGGGGCCCAGCAGGAGGGGATCAGATGGCGGGGGTGTGGGAGGGGCCCGTTTGCAGTTTTTCAAGGATAACCGGCTGTTGGGGGGGTGACCCCAACCAAAACGGGCCCTTCTCTCTTTCCCCTTTTCAACTGCCTCCCCGCGTAGCGCCCCCACCCCAGTCTCCCTAGAGAGCGGGAAGTTAGCAGGTCTTGGCTGGCTCCACAGTGCCCCTATGTGGCCTGTACCGGATCTGCATTCTGGATATAAGAAGAGTTAGGCCTGAGACCGTACTCACTTCTACCTGACTATAGATGAAGTAGGTGCCGTCCACCAGTACCTCCAGCTCCCCGCTGCGGGGATGTAGCTTAAACACCTTGGGGTTCATGGTGATGCGAGACCAGTCATTGAGCACTCCACCTGAAAGATCTCAGTATGAGAGAAGGGCAGTCACTCAGTACATGTCCGAAGAATCCGGGCAACAGAAACAAGAGATAGGGAGCAGCACCCCTCCCCACCCCCACCCAGATCCCAGCGCAAGGTGGACAGCCCCAGAGGCCAAGCTGTTTGCTTTCAGAACAGCGTGTGGAAGCAGACAAAGCATTCTGTTTGTCGAGCAGCTGCCAGGCCTGCCTCAGGCCCCTGGGGGGCCTTGTCTGCCTCCCTCCCTCCTTTCCTGACCGCTCCATCTAGAAGGGTCTTTAACCAACACTTTGCAGCTGGAATTAGGGGTGAAGGCAAGAAGAGAGTAGGCATGCTGCCCTATTTTCTTTGTTGTTCTGGGGCCTGCGCAGGCAACATTCAGACACTGAGTGGCAGGCTAGGTCTTACTATTCCATTCTATTTCTCCAGCCCTAGCTCCTGAATCCCTCCTCTGGCTCTCAGGTTCATGGGTTTTTACTTTCTCCTTTAAAGATTCCTTTTTACAGTTCCTTCGTGCCCGCTCCCTTCTGGAAGTCTTCCCTGCCCCATGCAGGAAACCACTCAGCCCAAGGAACTGTCTACCTGGAGAACCTTAGTGATCAGGGGCGAGTCAGACTTCATGGCAGCTGGAATGAGTAGCCACCCGTCCTAAGGCCCCATAGGAGAGGGGAAACTTTATGAGAGTGAGGGATAGACCAGCCAGCAGCACTAGAACCAGCAAGGGTATCTGGGAGCTGAGTTACCTCTGGTAAAGCATCTGCCAGCCCAACCCCATTGGGGGAAGAGGGGTTCCCTCTTCCTACCACCTTTGCTGGACAATGAGAGCCAGTATGGGAAGGTGGAGGAAAAGCTTCCCTTTCAATCCTGCAGAAGGAGGGATGTTCCCTCCTTCTACCACTGGAGGAGAGGGTCTAAGCCCAGGGGACTGTTCCCTCTCAAAACCTTCCCTTCTTCACCCAAGGAATCATGTTGTGAATGTTCATCTTTCGCTAGTCTCAGGAGGCCTGCCTCTCAGAGGTGTGAGGAAACTGGCCTTCTGGAATAGGTGGTCATCCTTCCTTGAGGTGACAGTGGGTGGGACAGGAGTTAGGAAGAGATGCCCTGGTGCAGCCCCTCCAGGTGACTGCTCTGCTTGGTGTACTTCCACCCCTCCTCCCTCCCTTCTGCTTTCACTGCAACTTAAGATCAGCATAAACTACGATTAGGGATTGGCCCACAGGGTTGGAGCTGGTCTTGTTGCATGGTAGTGGGAGCAAAATCCATAGCTTCAGGCATAGACTGAGCATGGAGGCCACCCATCCACCCAGACCAAATCTATTTCCTGCCTGTCTCACTCCTCCCTGGACAGATGGTGATTATGGCCCATCCAGGGCCCCAGGGCCCAAGGCACCTGGTCCCAGCAGGACTCTTTGGTTTTTGCTACTGCTCTGTTCCTCCTTCTACTTTGGAGGCGATTAAATTTCAGGCATCCAGGTGGCAGTCCAGGCTGTGGCTAAGCCTGATCATTAGGGCAGCTCAGCACAGCCGGTTCAGGGCAGACTGGACTCTTAGGAGCTGTCCCCATGCAGCAGGTTTCCTAACCTTCATTCACTGTTTCTGCACTTGGAGCCCCTCCCTTCCTCTCCAGGCTCCTTAAGCATCTGGCATCCTGGCTGGCTTGCTGCTTCCTAAGGGTCCTGGGGCGGGGGCAGGGGGGAGGGGGAGGTCAGGCATTTTAGGCTATGTGCACCCTGGGGACTGGACATTATTTCGAAGTGCTGTTCTTTAATGAATGTTCATGTCTCTTTGGGGGAGAAAATGAAACTAATCATTCAGTGGAGTGTACGCACATCACTGAAGGAGCCCAGCACTGTGGAAAGACTCAGACAGACATAGTTTTGAATCCAGCTCCTACACTTAACTGAACTCTTGGGCCAAGGAATTAACTTCTCCGAGCTTCAGTTTCTGTCTCTGCAAAAAGGAACTAATACCTGCAGCACAGGGTTGCTGTGAGGAGCACAGGAAATGAAAGACAAGGGGTGCCTGGGTGGCTCAGTCAGTTAAGTGGCTGCCTTTGGCTAGGGTCATGATCCCAGGGTCCTGGGATCAGGCTACCTGCTCAGCGGGGAGCCTGCTTCTCCCTCTTCCTCGGTCCCTCCTTCCTGTTCCTGTGCTATCTCTCTCTCTCTCTCAAATAAATATAATCTTTAAAAAAGAAAGACAAAAGAATGCATGCTGAAAACTCCAAAGGACCATCCAAATATAAGGCAGTATGATTTTTTTAATAAAATTTTTTTAAGATTTTATTTATTTACTTGACAGACAGAGATCACAAGTAGGCAGAGAGGCAGGCAGAGAGGAAGGGAAGCAGGCTCCCCGCTGAGCAGAGAGCCCGATGTGGGGCTTGATCCCAGGACCCTGGGATCATGACCTGAGCGAAGGCAGAGGCTTTAACCCACTGAGCCACCCAGGTGCCCCAGCAGTATGATTTCTTAAGGTATTATCCATTCTCATTGGGACTCTGGTTCCCCATCTTTTATTTTATTTTATTATTTTTTATTTTTTTATTTGACAGAGAGATCACAAGCAGGCAGAGAGGCAGGCAGAGAGAGAGGAGGAAGCAGGCTCCCTTCTGAGCAGAGAGCCCGATGCGGGGCTCGATCCCAGGACTCTGAGATCATGACCTGAGCCGAAGGCACCGGCTTAACCCACTGCGCCGCCCAGGCGCCCCCCGCCCCCATCTTTTAAATGCAGGGATTACATTAAGTCAGTTTTCTTAAGCCCCTTAAACCTGTTTTCCCTTACAGATACTAGCATCTCATACTCCCAGGAGAGTCTGGCATGCTTCCTCCCTCCCCCAACCCCGGGAAATGCTTCCTCCACCTGTTTTCTGCGGAGACCCATCAGACAACAATTTACTTTTCTGTGGTTTTACCTTCTCTAGCATGTATTGTGAAGATGTTGATCAAACTGTACATGTCCCCTTGGTGACTCTGATACCACCTCCATCTGCCAAGAATTCCCCAGCTCCGTGATGTCTCAAGTCCCTTTCCGCTTCCTCATCAGTGATTCTAAATGCAATTTGTGTGTAGCGACCAGTCTAGGTGCGAGCAATTACCCAGGATAGCCAGCAGAGGGCAGACGGAGTAGCGAATGCGCACCGCCCCCCCCCCGCCCCGCCCCCCAACCGCCCAGGTTACTTCCAAGGGCCCACGGAGGAGCTAGGCTGGTGATTCTTTGAAGGCTGCGAGTAAGAAAGACAGGAGAAGCTCCTCTTAGGGAGAGAGCCGACTTTGACTCTTACCATTCTTGACTTGAATTGCTGACCCTTGGCCCTGTAGATGCACCACAGCTGGCTGGGAGGATAAGGACAGAGAGAGTCGTCACTGAGAGAAATGGCTGCCTGCTTAGCCACCAGTCAACGTGTTCCCACCTCTGACTTCCAGTCTCCTTTCCTTTCCCAATTCGGATCCCTTTCTCCGGTTCTGGGAGGCCAGGGAGCACATCTCTGCTGGTGGGTCATGTGATTTGCAGCTCCGCCCCTTCCTGGCTAGGTGACCTCAGTGGAACGGAATCCTCTCACCCCCACCCAAGTCTCATTTCCGTAACTGTGAAATGGGGATTTTAAGAATCTCTGTCTGGCCTCTCTTACAGGGATGTCTGAAGATCAAATGAGGTGACAGATCTACAATCCCCTGCAAGCTATCAAGCACTGTGCCGCCATGTAGATTTATAATTGTGGCCAAACAGCTGTGGTGAGTGAAGGGGCTGGGATGAGCCAAGGCAAGGCAGCACAACTTGCCAATACAGACAGATTAGGAAGCTCAAAGACAAGGGAGGAGCCCTTCAGGCCTTTAAGGCAGAAGCCCAGGCTATGTTTGGCCTGGAGCTGGTTGGCTGATTTTCAAGTTCCTGATCCCCAGCGGTCTGAGTGCCCACAAGGTGTCTGGTGTGGGTGGGAGGTTGGAGGCTTGGGTGGATAGGCCTGATTGGCAGCTCATTTCAGGGTATGACTGTGCTTGGATATGATGACCTTCTGTCTTCTGTGCGGGGAGGTGGGGAGAAATGGCCATGGAAAGGCTGAGTTAAAGGCAGGCCCTGGGGCAAAGCTTTTCTATTCCTTGGGATGGGAGGGGGCTGTGAGTGAACAACTTTGGGACCCCCCCCTCAAGGGCATCTTCACAAACTTAACAGGGAGCCACTGGAACGTGGTCCTAGCCTTATGGCCTTCCCTCCTCCCCGGGGAAGAGAGCAATTCCCAGCCAACCTGGTTTTCTCGAGGTCCAGCTTTATCAGCAGCTCCTGCAAAATAGGACAGGACAATCAGAGGGCATGCTCCTTCCCTTTCTCTCTCCTCAGCTAGGCAGCAAGTGGCAGTGAACCTTGCTCTGGGCAGCCAGGCCCTGGGATGGGAGAGGATACCACTCCCTTCTCTTCCTCCTCCCTGACCTGCCTCCTCAGTGGGCCCAGCGTCCAGCAGGGAAAGTGGACTCTGGCTAACGCTGGCTTCAAGGCAAGCCTCACTGAGCACTGGTAGAGACAGAGGACAGTGCATTCCTGCCACCAAGTGACCCCGTGACCCCGAGACGGTGCCCTTTGCTTCTTTAGTCTTTTGCTCCCTTTCTTTCAGGGTCCTCATAGAAAGCATTGCCGTTGTAAATATCTTGCTTCCTTAATCGCCTCTCTCCTCCCCTGGGACCTAAACTCCATGAGAATGGGGCCCACTTATCAATATATCTCTTGCATACAGAAGGTGCTCAGTATCTGTAGAAAGACTGGGATACAAAAAACAAAAGAAACAAACCAAAACCCTCTAACTCCATCTCTTATGGTCATGGTAATTCTGATTAACCCCATTTGAACTCTGAGTCAAAGAATCTGAGTCCTGCTACAGAATTTTTGGACCCAGAGAAATCAGCTGTGTAAAGAGCCAATTTCCTTAAAGCCCCAAGAAACAAGAGGGGTGCAGCAGGAGGAAATAACAACTGACCCAAGCCCTGGCAGTATGACTCCTGTCAGTTCCAATTAGGCAGGTTTGGATTGGCATCTCTACCTTCCGGATGCCCTTCTGGACCCAAGAGGAATGACACAAAGAGATTTGATGCTATTTGAACAGGCACTTGGCTCCTCAGTCTTAGAGACAGTGTTTGCTTCTTCCCCAGCCCCGGTGACTTGTAAGTTTCTAACTCCCTGGTCACCAGTGACTGTCTACCTCTACGGGAAAGGCCCTTCAGAGTTCATGGGATGAGACTGTTCTAGGGCTTGTCATTTCTTCCAGTCCCCAACATTCCTCTTCATAGCCTGTTTCCAATCAGACATAAACATTTGGTGCTACATGCTGGAAATCAGAGCGGACCAAATCCATCCCCCACTGGAAATCTAGTATAAATCCTTGGGGCCTCTGGTTCTGGCTTATGGGAGTTTCCTGGCTCACTACAGGGAGGCCTAGAGTCAGGGAGGGCTTGTAATGGAAAGGTCAAGAGCAGGCAGAGTTAGAGAAGGTCAGGCCCTACTGGCTTGTTCAAGTCCTAGCTCTCCACTGAGACAGGAGACCTGTTCTTCTTGTTCACCAAAGCCATCACCACTGTTGGAAAGTGCCTTCAGGATAGTCCACACCTGCTCTTTTCAAGTACTTGCAAGGAGTCTAGGGGCAGGTGGAAAGGCAGAGGAACTCACCAGAAGGTCCCTGTAGGCCAGGGGGTCCCTGAGGACCAGGGGGACCTGGAGGGCCAGGTGGTCCCATCACAGTTGTTCCTGGAATTCCAGGAATTCCTGGAATCCCTGGGGGTCCCTGGGGTCCTGGGGGTCCTGGAGGTCCCGGAGGGCCATTGGGCCCAGGAGGTCCTGCCTTCTTTCCTAAAAGACAAGATTCAGTGTTACATTTGTAGTTATTGACTCAAAACAAATATACTGTCAGGACTTCTACAGACTTCCAAGGACACAAAGTCAGCCCTTTGGGAATTCCTGCTGCTAAAAAGGTGAACACTTTATTATACAACACACACACACACACACACACACTCCCTATCCCCTTTCATGAATAATTATTTACAGAGCTGGTTTGAAGATACAGAAATAAATGACCCTGAAGGAGCTCAGTCTACTGGGGAAACAGACACAGACACAGTCACAGGAGAGTCTAAGTACCATATTAGTAGTAGGGACAAATGCTTAAGAGGTCAGAGAAGGTTTCATAAAGGAGGTTACCTTTCAGATGAGTCCAAAAGATTAGAATTACCAAGTGACCAGGTCACCTTTTTGAATGGAGAATTGGGCTACCGTTGAAGAGTGGGTTTTCATGTTTGCTGCCCGGTTTGGAGGACTTGATGCGATGAGAAGAGGGAGCTAGGAGGACAGCCCTGACCTTGGGAATAATATCAACACCAGGAAGGTTTCCTACAGAAGTTGGGATGTACAGGAACTAGGGGTTGGTATAGAGGTGGTGGTAGCTGGGAATGAGGATCGGGAAGGAATTTGGGAGATGAGAGGTAGGGGATGGGGGAGAGGGAGGGAGGGGGAGATAGAGAGAGAAGGAAAGAAGGGGAAACAGAGAGTAGAAAAAGCCGAGGAGGCAGCTGGCAGTTTTTGCTTTTTCAGCTGACCTCTCTAAACCCTATTTTAAAAGATCTCTGGGAAAGGCAATTCTGTAAACTCCCCTGGTAACATGTTCCTGTGGTTATCACCCCCTCACTGTTAGGAAGTTCTTCCGTATATTTAGCTGAAATCCCTCCTGTGGCAATTTGAGCTTTTATTCTATTCTTTGTGTAGATAGAGAAGAATAGTTACCATCAAACACATAATAACCCTCATATGCTTACAGACATTAAGTCACCTGTCAACCTCTTATTTTTAATAGGCTAAATAATCTGGCTTTCCAGCATCTTTCCTCTGAGGCCCTATTCTCCAACATATTATTAATTAAGCCCACCAGCTCCTTCCCTTTCCCTCCTCGCTATCCTTTCAGAATGATCCCGGCCCTTCTATTCCATATTCCAGTCCTTCCAACATTCCCACTAGGATGTAGCTATTTGACAGAGTCATAACTGTGGTCTTGTACCAAAACCCATAGCTCCTGTTTACTTCCTCTGCTCTGTGCAGCCCAATTTATGCACGACTGGTGACCCCGAGGGGGGTGTCTTTTACCTTTCACTACTTTCTCACAATTTGTGGAAATCCCAGGAACAGACGGGTTTGACCAGACTCCACGACAGTATTTCCACCCGTGGTACTGTCTGAGTTCTAAATGTAACCCTCTTAAGTCTCATTGAAACACCTCCTTAAAAACTCTGACTTCTTGCTCCCCAGGCTCTTAGGAGAATCCTGTCCTGATTTATCTGGCCCCCCTTTAAAAATAATGCCTTGTGTTCCAGAAACTCAATGGCAATGCCATTCAAGAGGCCAGTTGTCCATGTCTAATGACTTCTGCATTTGGTATGAAACAACGGGGTCACTGTGAGGCTCCTGCCCTGGGGAGACTCCCTGTAGCCTTAGAGCCCTAGAGGCAGGAGGGAGCTTTCTTATTTTCCCTGCACGTAGCAGCTGCAAAAGACTGGATCTGCCCAGTTTCTAGATTAGCCAATTTCAAGATGCTGAACAGGAAAGCCATCTCCCTTCAGATTTGGGCAGCTTCCAAGTCAGGCTTATTCAGCACCCAAGTTTCAATTCCAGCTAGTGCTGTGGAAGGAACACAAAATCTGTAGTCAGGAGATAAGGCTCGAAGCCCCAGCCCTGCCACAGATGCACTTTGGGCAAATTCCTTTCTCTCCCCAAGCCTTAGTTTCTCACTGGTGAAATGAGGAGTTTGGCCTTGATGATTTCTCTAAGTTTCCTCCCAAGGTTGAGGTACCGTAAGGAAGGCTGACTTACTCCTGGCAGTCAGGAAACTTCCCTAGCCTGATTGTAAGGTCTGCTTCTCCCTCCTTATTCTCTATTCTCCCTCTTCTTCCTCTGTGTCTACTGGCACAGACACAGAGAAAGGTGCATATTAGACTGTTCTATGTCCCAGAATTTCCAGGCCTAACTGACTTTGAAGCTGGAGGGTGTTCTGTGGGTAGGACAAACTTCAGTGTCAAGACTGAGACTCTCCTGTGATTGCTAATGTAATTCTGGAATAATTACAGCCAGAAACTTCTCTAGTCAAAAAGAATAATGGTTGCAGTGAAAACAGAGGATTTTCACTTATGAAAATGTTAGAGGACATTTGGGAAAAAGTTCCTGTTCTGCAGCTGGTCCTCTTTGCTCCTCTGTAACTAGGTTTAGGCAAGTGTACTTCTCATACTTGCATCCTTACAGAAAGTTGGCCCAGGGGCACCTGGGTGGCTCAGTGGGTTAAAGCCTCTGCCTTCGGCCCAGGTCATGATCCCAGGGTCCTGGGATCGAGCCCCACATCGGGCTCTCTGCTCAGCAGGGAGCCTGCTTCCCCTCCTCTCTCTCTGCCTGCCTCTCTGCCTACTGGTGATCTCTGTCTGTCAAATAAATAAATAAAATCTTAAAAAAAAAGAAAGTTGGCCCAGAGAGGAACAGGTACAAAATGACCCCTGGACAAGAGGTTGACTTTAGAGGATTGAATTCCTTCTCCAGATTTCCTGATGTTGCCAGAACACTTCATGATACAAAAGCCCAGAGACTTCTCTACTTAGAAAATTCTCCAGTGCAGTCTTAGATGACAGAATGTTCACATTCTTTTCCAAGCTAAACTTCACTAACCTTTTAGTGAAGGCCAAACTGTTGAAAGAACAAATAAAAACAAGTGAATGAAAGTGAGGGTGGAGGGAGGGTGAGGGAGAGAGGGAGAGGGAATGAACATTAGCAAGTTAGTTGTAGGAGGGGAAAATTCTATTAAAGATGGAAATTAAATGAACAACTCAATTTACCTCTTCAGGCATGTGCCTATTCACTGTGTCCAAGGAAATCTGTATTAAATGGCTTCTAAATCACTTTCAGTCGAAGGAAATGTTTAAGGCCTATGTGCATTCTCCTTCTAATAATGGCCCATATACAAGGTGGCAGTGCTGGGCAGTGATCCGAGTCCCTGCCAGAGGCATTGGATTCTCAGAATTGTAATAATAGGGCTTCTAGCCTAGGCAATTGTCTTCTATTGTCACTAGCAAGTATGTTCTCTCAGTGCTCACTCATTGGATGACCCTACAACTGGTTGCCATTCCCCACCACACACATGACCTACACTTCGGTATATCGCTAGCCTAATTGCTGTTGCCCCAAACAGGCCATGTTCTTTCACGCTTCTGAGGGATCTGAGTATGCTCTTCCCTTTGCTGGAATGCCCTTCCCCCTCCATTTCCCCCCATCCTTCAAAGCCCAGGTTAAATGCTGTTTCTTTTTTTTTTTCCCTGCGATGTGGCTCCTCACTCCCCCAGGGAGAACTACTTGCTCTTTCTTTGTGCTCCCACAGCTCACTGTTCATGCTTCAATGAGAGCATTTTTGATACCATACTGTAATTATTTGTGTGTACTTCCACTATTCCAGCTACACTGGGAGATTTTTGAGGGCAGGCACCATTTTTCTTTATCTTGGTATCTCTATTCCTGACAAATATAAGGTGCTTATTCACGGTCCAGTGAATGAGTGAAAAGAAAAAACTAGTAGCTGTAATTAGAGAGTGTTCCCAAGTCTACCTATTAAGAAGGGAAGTCACCCTTGGATTTGTTTAGGAGCAGAGGGTGTCCTTGTCAAAGCCAGGTGAGCTTTCTAGGTTTATTACAATTTCCATTTTAAAGGGGATGTGACAAAAGTTAAAAAGTACATGGTTGATAGAGTAATCAAAACAGGATGGTACTGGCACAAAAACAGACACATAGATCAACAGAACATAGTAGAAAACTCAGAAATGAACCCACAATTATATGGTCAATTAATCTTTGACAAAGCAGGAAAAAACATCCAGTTAGAAAAAGTCTCTTCAACAAATGGTGTTGGGAAAACTGGACAGTGACATGCCTAAGAATGAAACTGGATGACTTTCTTTCACCATACAGAAAAATAATTTCAAAATGGATTAAAGACTTAAATTTGAGACCTGAAACCATAAAAATCGTGGAAGAGAACATAGGCAGTAACTTCTTTGACATTGGCCATAGCAACATCTCTCTAGATATGTTTTCTGAGGCAAGGGAAACAAAAAAATACACTTTATAATAAAAATCCTTCTGCTTTTACAAAGCAAAGGAAACAATCACAAAACTAAAAGACAACCTACAGAATGGGAGAAGATATTTGCAAATGACAAATCTGATAAATGGTTAGTATCCAAAAATCTATAAAGAACTTTTCAAAGGCAATACCCTCAAAACAAATAGTCCAATTAAAAAAATGGGCAGAAGACATGAATAGACGTTTTCCAAAGAAGACATACAGATGGCCAAAAGACTCATGAAAAGATGCTCAACATCACTTACTATCAGGAAATGTAAATCAAAACGTAATGAGATATCACCTCACTCCTGTCAGAATGGCTAACATCACAACACAAGAAACAACAGGTGTTGGTTGGCGAGGATGTGGAGAAGAGTGAACCCTCTTGCACTGTTGGTGGAATGCAAACTGGTGCAACCACTCTGGAAAACAGTGTGAGGTTTCCTCAAAAAGTGAAAAATAGAACTGTCTTATAATCCAGCAATTGTACTACTAGATATTTGCCAAAGGATACAAAAATGCTAATTCAAAGGAATACATGCACCCTGATGTTTATAGCAGCAGTATCTACACTGGCCAAATTATGGAAATAGGCCATGTGGCCACTGGCTGATGAGTCAAGAAATAAGATTTGGCATATATATGCAATGGAATATTGCTCAGCCATCGAAATGCATCCATTGCAATGACATGGATGGAGGTGGAGAGTATTATGCTAAGTGAAATCAGTCAGATAAAGATAAATACCATATGATTTCACATGTATGTGAAGTTTAAGGAAAAAAAAACACAACCAAATAACCAAATGGAAAGAGAGAGAGAGAGAAACCAAGAAACAGACTCTTAACTATAATCAACAAATTGTTGGTTACCAGAGGGGAGGTGGGGGAAGGCTGGGTGAAATAGGTGATGTGGATAAAGGAGGGCACTTGTCATGATGAGCACTGGGTGATGTGTGGAATTGTTGAATCACTACATTGTACACCTGAAACTAATATAACACTGGATGTTAACTAACTGGAATTAAAATAAAAACTTAAAAGAAAAAAAGAAAAAGAAATGATCTATTGAGCCATGAAAAGACATGGAGGAACTTAAATGCATATTACTAAGTAAAAGAAGCCAATCTCAAAAGGCTACATACTGACTTGGGAAAAGGCAAAACTAAAAAGACAACAGAAAGGTCAGTGGTGGGATGCCTGGGTGGCTCAGTCTGTTAAGCATCTGTCTTCTGCTCAGGTCAAGATCCCTGGGTCCTGGGACTGAGTCCCACATCAGGCTCCTTGCTCAGTGAGGATCCTGCTTCTCCCTCTGCCTGCCACTCCCCCTGCTTGTGCTCACTCTCTCTCTCTGACAAATAAATAAATAAAGTCTTTAAAGAAAAAAAAGAGAAAGATCAGTGGTTGCCAAGGGTTAGGGGGAGGCAATGATGAATAGGCAAAGCAGAGAGGATTTTTAGGGAAGTGAAACTATTCTGTAAATACTGTAATCTATGGAATCTATGTCACTATACATTCGTCAAAACCCCTAGAATGTACAGTACCAAGATGAAGCCTAATGTTAACTATGTACTTTGAGTGATGATGATATATCAATGGAGGCTCCTCAGTTATAACAAATGCACTACTCTGGTAGTACATAATCTGGTGGGGGAGGCTGTCCCTGTGTGGGGCAGGAAATATATGGGAATGCTCTGTACTTTTCCCTCAATTTTGTTGTGAACCTAAAACTGCTCTAAAAAATAAGCTACTAGAAAAAACTAGAAAAAAGCTACTAGAAAAAAACATGCTGAAAAAATCAAATGTACTTTTGTAAATACATAATATCTTGGTTAATGGCCAGGCCCAATGGAGAAAGTTTTCCTCATTGACCCCAGCTCTCTGGCTGTTTTCCAACTTTGCTCCGATCAGGTCCTCAGGAGGCCAGGCCAATCCTCAGCTTCTTTACAACAGGGACACAGGTTTTCCATGTAGGCTATGGTACTGTGAGCCACCAGAGTACCCTCGTGCTCAGAGAAGGAGCAGGCTGCAGCTGAAGCCAGTATTTTGGTCTACTCTGGGACTGATAATCTACTCTATAAAGCTCCAGAAATCTTAACAGAATCATTTTACTTAAAGCATTTTACTTTTTATTTTTAAAATATATTTATTTATTTGACAGAGAGAGAGAGAGAGAGAAGGAGAGAGAGGGAGAGAGCAAGCACAAGCAGGGGGAATGGCAGACAGGGGAAAAGCAGGCTCCCTGCTGAGCAAGGAGCCCAATGTGGGACTTGATCTCAGGACCCTGGGATCAAGACCTGAGCCGAGGGCACCTGGGTGGCTCAGTGGTTAAGCCTCTGCCTTCAGCTCAGGTCATGATCTCAGGGTCCTGGGATCGAGTCCCACATCAGGTTCTCTGCTCTGCAGGGAGCCTGCTTCCTCCTCTCTCTCTCTCTCTGCCTGCCTCTCCGCCCACTTGTGATCTCTCTCTGTCAAAAAAAAAAAAAAAAATCTTAAAAGACCTGAGCAGAAAGCAGATGCTTAATGACTGAGCCACCCAGGTGCCCTGATTTTTTATTTTTTAAAGGATTTTATTTACTTATTTGAGAGTGAGAGAGCAGGAGCATAGGGGAGGGGCAGAGGGAGAAGCAGACTCCCCACTGAGCAGGACCCCAGGATCATGACTTGAGCCAGAGGCAGACACTTAACCAACTGAGACACCCAGGTGCCCCTACTTAAAGTGTTTTATAATTTCACTTTATTTTCTTTCCAGGTCAGAACACAGAAATAGTTACTTAAAACTGGTTTTGTATTTGGTTTCTTTTTTTAGTCCTAAGGAGTGGACCATATAGCTTAATTCTGTCTTTTGGAACTTGTTCTGTTTTTTAGGTTCTCCTATTCAAGTATGCAAGTGCTTGTACAAGCTCTTGGGCCAGTCTTGTTGCAAGTGTATTAGAAACATACTGACCCAACAGTGGCACAATGGATCTGCTCAACCAGAAGCTTCTTTGAAAGGACCAAAAGATCAGGGTATTCCTCCAGCTTTCCTTTTCCCATCACAGAGAAAATCATATTGAAACCCCAAAGTGAGAAATACTTTCTCTGACTATCTAAGGCATAGGATAGGGATAGCTTTAAGGCAAAGAACGGGGTACTGACGTCTTTCGGGGAGGTGGTATACCTAGTCCCCACAAGCTGTCTTAGGACTTAATTTATACGTGATTATTGATTCCATAAAGGAGGGTAAAGAAAGGAAAAAGGAAAGGGGAAAGAGTAAGGAAGAATGAAGGAAAGAGATGTAAGTTTAATTGTATAAAAGAGGGAGCAAGAAAGAATAATAAAAACAACTTTCATATACTGCTAGAGAAGCAATTTCATGAATCATCACTGAAAAATAATCTCTACTTCTTGTTTCATGGAAGCTACCATACTCAAGGAGGACACAGGTGATTGACTAAAACAATGGACAACCAACATTGAAAGAATATATAAAAATATTACTCCCTTGGTTTTTTTCCTTCTAATTTTAGAAAAGACACGAGAACAATTTTATAAAATCAGGAGCTTAACTTACCCTTTTTCTTGTTTTTAACTGGGCCTGTTAAAAAAGAAAATGGAAAATTAAGTCCCTGGAAATTAACATAAAGTGTTTATTCTCCAAGACAGTCATAGGAGAAACTCCGAAGACACTGCAGATTTTGAGGGAGCCCCACACCAAGGGTCAGGTCATTGGCAAGGTATCTCCCAATTATCAGACCTCTCCAGTCTGTTTCTTTTTTTTGACTGTTGTAACAAGAACGTTACAAGAAAGATTTTTCCACAGAAAACTCTTTCAGTCTCCATCTTTGCAGTGAGGGAATGGGTACTTCTTGGTAGAGATGAAATGCCCATAAACGCAGAACTCAACAACCTTAGGACGGCATTCCATTAATTCTGTGAGTCCTGAGATTGAAGAGTCACACATTCAGGTGAAGAACTGGTATGAAGTCTCCTGCATTGAAGCTAAATGGAAAACAGGGTCATTTTCACAGAAGGAACAGAAGCAGCAGCAGCAGCAGCAGAAGCAGCAGCAGACTTTGGAGTCACTTATTGTGATTTCAATTGTTAGTTATTAAAGCAGTGTGACCAAAATACATTCATGTGGGTACCACATGCACACCTGTTGTAATTGACTATAAGTTAACAGACACTTCAAAAAGAAGTGTCAACAGTTTCACTGACAATGAAATCACAGGCGTTTTCTTGGAAATTACTTCTAAAGAAAACAATTCTAATCAATTGAGGATACTCAGTGGGAAAACCCAAGGCTTTTGTTACATGGTTAGGTGACAACCACTCCCCAGACACACACAATTTAGGTAACTTCCACACGTTTTCCCCTCCTGGGGACCCAATTCTCTTCATTCTGTAGGTGGATTTGATTTTCTTTAGATGCAGGTGTTTAAAATCTGTTCCAAACTCCCATGAAGATACTATAGAACATTAAACTGTTGTCAGTGTCCTCAGGAGCTTACAAAAAGAACACCAAGCATTTGTATATTGTTTTATAACCCATAAAACCCGGTTATTTCCATTTATCATCTCATTTTATTTTTACAACAAGCCTAGAATGATCTTTACCTATAAGAGCAGGCTCTATCAGAGGCAGGCATAGGTCCCTTGAAAACAAATGTCTGTGTGGCCTTCCCTTGCAAAAGAATTTTATTTTCGTAACTTCCCTGTTAAATTTCACGTGTAACAGTAGGTATTATTATGTGCGTGGGATGTTTTAGGTTGGGTTCAGCAACTTGCCGCACTGAAGGTCATCAGTCCCCATTGTTTTATCCTTGTTGCTCCTCCTTTTTCTTCCTCTCAGCCTTTGTCTTTGCTGCTTATCCTTTATGTGTTTAATGGCATTGAGAGTCCTTGATAATGTGCATGGGGGTTCTGGCAAGGAAGCACAGCTGTGAAAATACTACAAAGATGGAACAACTCAACATAAGCAGGGCCACCTCTTTGACCAAAAACAAAGCTATTGGAGGAAGGCTTTGTGAAGAAAGGCCCAGCTGCATCAGCCAGCTACGAGCCAGCGAGCCAGCCACCTCCGCAGGGCAGAGCAGTGGGGTCACAGAGAGTGCAGCGACACTGCACTCACAGACCAGCTGTGCTAGCCCTGGACAAGGTTCTGACCATTTCAGCTGCCTAAAGATTCAGCACTGTCACATCACCCTTCAAAGCAGGTTTTGAGGAAATCAGATTATCACAAGCAACCAGTCTTCACCAAGCGTGCCTCTGGAAGGCGGCAAGGTAAATAAGGAAACAACTCTACCTGAAAAGACTGTTCAGTTGGATACAAAAATATCAAAGAGGGGAGACAAGGAATTATATTGGCTATTTGAGAAAAAAACCAACAAACCCAAACTTCCTGGAGAAAGTGTGACTTAAATCAACAACTGAAAAGAGGGAAAGGGAAGTTAGAATTTTTTTTTTAAACTTCTGTTGGGTTTACTGGGAACCAACTCATTGTACGTATATAAATGCGTGCATACATACATACATACATAAAAGGGGGAAGAAAAAAGGAAAAATTTATTTTTAAACAAAACTAGCTTTATTTCACTTTTTTTCAGTGAATCTTATTTTTAACTCATGTGTATAACAGCTATTCAACAACTCTATATTATATGTTATGCTCATCACAAGTGTAGCTATCATCTGTCCGCATACATTGCTATTATAATATTATTGACTATATTCCCTATGCTGTATCTTTTACCCCCATGATTTATTCACTTCAAAAAGGAAGCCTGTATCTCCCACTCGCCTTCACCCATACTGCCCATCTCTCTACCCCTTTCCTCTCTGGCAACTCTCACCTTGTTTTCTGTATTTGTAGCTCTGATTCTGCTTTTTATCTGTTTATTCATTTGTTTTACTTTTAAGATTCCACATGTAAGTGAAAGCAAATGGCATTTATCTTTCTTTGTCTGACTTATTTCACTTAGCATTTATACCTTCTAGGTCCATCAGTGTCACAAATTGCAAGATCTAATTTTTCTTCTGGCTGAGTAACAATATTCCATATCATCTATTGATGGACATTTGGGTTCCTTTCATATCTTGGCTACTGTAAGTAATGTAGCAATAAACATAGGAGTTTTTGAGTCTGTGTGTTCATTTACTTTGGGTAAATACCCAGTAGTAGAATTACTGGATTATATGTTATTTCTATTTTTAATTTTCTGAGGAAACTCTTTACCGTTTTCTGTAGTGGCTGCATCGATTTACATTCCTGCCAACAGAGTACAGGTCTCTCACTTCTTTCCCAACACCATTTGTTGAAGAAACTTGTCTTGCAGCTTTAAAATTGTTTTCTTTGTCACCGTATTTTGCCATTACAATTCTAGTATGTCTTGGGTGGATCTGCTTTTATTGATTTTCCTGGGGGTCTCTGTGCCTCCTGGATCTGGATATCTGTTTACTTCCCCATTAGGGAAGTTTTCAGCTATTATCTCTTCAAATATATTTTCTGCCCTCCTTTCTCTCTCTTCCTCTGGGACTCCTATGATGTAAATGTTATTATGTTTGGTGGAGTCACTGAATTCCCTAAGTCTATTCTTGTAATTCATAATTTTCTCTTTTTCAGCTTGATTACTTTCCACTACTCTGTCTTCTAGGTCATTAGTGCATTCCTCTGCTTCTTCCAGCCTGTTCATTCTAACAAGTGTGTTTCTCATTTTGTTTATTGAGTACTTTATCTCTGTTATGTTATCCCTTATCTCTGTGTTAAGAGTCAAACTCATGTCTTTCACTCTTTTCTCAAGTCCAGAGAGTATCCTTATGTTCATTACTTTAAATTCTCTATCAGGCACATTATATTTGTTTCACTTAGATCTCTGGCCATGACCTTGTCCTGTTCTTTCATTTGGGACAAATTCATCTCTCTTCTCATTTTGTTTAAGTCTCTGTGCCTGCTTCTTTGTGTTAGGAAAGTCAGCTACTTTTCCTGTTGTGGACAGTAATGGCCTTAAAAAGAGGACCCTACAGTGTAGTGTTTCCTGTTTCCCAGGGCCTAGAACTACAGGGAGTGTCTCCAGTGTGTGCTGTGTGTGTTCAGCAGTTGTGTCTTGGCTGCTTTACCCTTTAGGACCATCATCTGCAGAAGATTTCCTTGCCTGTTGTGGGCAATGTTTGGTCCCTGGCCTGAATGCAGTGGGTCTTAACTACATGTGCTTTGTCTACTTGTGAAATAAGACCTGAAACTATTGCTGCTGGAACTTAGGTCCTGCTAAATTCCTGGGTCAGGAGACATGGTGTGGGCAGGGGTTTGGGCTGGTCTATCTGGGGGAGGGAGCCCTCCATGCTGGGACTGAGGCAAGCGTGACTAGGAAGGGTGTTCCACCAGAGCACGAGGGTTGGGTCTTGGTGTAAGCAACTTAGGTAGTGAGTGTCCATTCTGCCCTGATTCCTGCAGGTGGATCTGTGTTTCTGCTGAGGGGTGGTGAAGGGAAGTGGTGCCTGCCAGTTCCTTTGTTCCTGGAGGGGTATCTCCATTAATGCTACCTCTCTGGGACATGATCTGAGATGAGCAAACAACCTTTCCGCTGTGTGCCCTAGGTACTTTTCAGATTTCTGTTTCCACACTGTATGTCTGCAGGCTGTTTGCCCTGCCTTCTCTCCAAAAGCAGCTCCAATGCCTCTGGGCTCTCTCTGAGCAAGCCTGATGACCTTTAGAACTCTAGGCTTTAAGCCCTGCTGGTTGCAAGAACTCACAAAATTTTGCCCCTCTCACTTTCTAAGCCAGTTGCTATGGGGGATGCATTTTCTCTTTGCATTCTCCAGTATGTCAGTTTGTCCCTTGCCATTCTTTGCAACTGTGGCTCCCTACCCACTGCAGTGGCCATGATCTGTTTCTCTCCCAAACAACATCTCTGTACTTCCTACCTTCTTCAATGTGGTCTCTTCTCTCCCTTTAGTTGTGGAGTTTGTTCTGTAAGTCTTCAGGTTGATTTCTGGGATATTTAGGATGATTTGATAGTTATCTAGTTGTATTCACAGGATGAAGTGAGCCTATGGTCACCCTACTCTGCTGCTGTCTTCCTGGACTCCAAGTTGTATAAATTCCTTATATATTTTGGATATTAATTCCTTAATTAATTCCTTGTTGGATATGTAATTTGCAAATATCTTCACTTGGTCTTTTTGTTTTGTGTTTTAATTTTATTTGCTATGAAAAAGTCTTTTTTATTTTCATGTAGTCCCAGTCATTTACTTTTGCTTTTGTTTCCCTTGCCTGAGGAAACAGAGTCATAAATATGTTGCTAAGGTTGATGTCCAAAAATGTACTGCTTACATTTTCCTTTAGGAGCTCTATGGTTTCAAGCCTCACATTTAGGTTTTTAATCCATTTCAAGTTTATTTTTGTGTGTGGTATAAGAACGAGGTCATGGGGGCGCCTGGGTGGCTCAGTGGGTTAAAGCCTCTGCCTTCGGCTCAGGTCATGATCTCAGGGTCCTGGGATCGAGCCCTGCATTGGGCTCTCTGCTCAGCAGAGAGCCTGCTTCCCTTTCTCTCTCTCTCTCTCTGCCTGCCTCTCTGCCTACTTGTGATCTCTGTCTG